TCATGCTTAACTACGTGGCTTCATTTTGAGTGTTTGCGTCACAACTTGCATCAAGTATTAATGAGACCTAGCAGTGCAAGGAGGTTTTACACTATAATCATCGCATATCGTTTGTACGATCACGCTTACAATTCATAAATTATGTATTAAGTAGAATTTATTTATCGAAGAGGGTCAGAATACGAAAGGCTCGGCTGAATAATAATATATAGTGCGACCGGGTCGAGCGGAGCTTTGCAGCTCTAGAATTGAAAGGATTTGGTAAGTTATTAATCCACCTTGAAAAATACAAAATCCAACAAAGTGAGACTCAGATATTATTTTAGTTTCGTTAGATGCTATAGGATAACGACTTCACGATCATGTGATATCACGAGCTGGACGAATTGTAAATATTAACTTGTATAACTTGACTAAGATGTAGCATATTTTATAAAGAAGTGTTTCCTGATTGGTCAAACGTGAATTTGATTTTTGTTCAACGTAGTAGACAGTATATATGAACCTTATTAAGGTATTTTGAAGCTACGGTTCATCAGAGGGTATCATAAAGTAGTCATTTTCCAAAAATATGAATGAATGCACCAATACATAAGAGGATGGAAATGCATCAAACGTCAATAATGTTACCAAAAAATGAGGATGAAAATTTTAGCACGCAACGTATGCATACGATAAAGTACAAAGATGCTCAAGATGCCATGAATATAAGCAGTCTTTGGAACGGTATCTTAAAAGAAGTGTGAGAAATATTGCGCATTAACAATGATTTGAAAAGGACGCAGAATCATATATGTGTCTTCATTAGTAACATAGGTGTACAACAATGTTATTTACAAGTTTATAACCTTTGCAGCGGGGTTTATGAATCTACCATGCAAGCAACTAAACTTAATGTCCTTGCAGATAAACCTATTTAAGGCAGCGGCGATCGCATTGATAACTATGCAATCTCAACTCGTCACCGTCCTTCAGACGACCGAAAAACGAAGGTGACAATCATACAATCATACTTGCTTAAATTTTATTACCGCGTGTACCCCTTCTTTTGACAAAGCACGTCGCACTCTCTGCGTTGTAATTAATTTGATGATAATGTCTGATCCGTAATAAGATTATACGCGGGATCTGTCGCGCTAAAATATTTGCGTGCTTAACGTGTTTTTGAACTCGTCGATTTGATTGTCCCTAATTTACCTTGGAATCCACTCGTTTGAATGTAAATACTTGACCACTCCGTACATCAAACCTAAAAAAAGTCGCCTCGGGGTTTAAAATCAGACTTTGCCATATGAATTCATCCGACCAGCGGAGAAATTCATTTTTTATTTAGAGCTCTTGAGAACCTTCGGCCAATTGATAATGAGTTACAAATTGCGCAGTAGCGCGAAATTAGGTTCGGTATCGCTGGGAAACCAATGATATCTTGCATTCAAGAGAAATCAGCGCGCATGCTTTTAAGTCAAAATAGGGACTTTATACTAATGCTTAACAACCTTAGTGTCAACTTTGCCATATACAGTATCGTAATGCCACTATTCACGGCCACTAGTCGTCCTTACCGTGCTAAATATCTTTTTACTTGTACTACACACCAGTCACAATCTTCCTGGACCGCTATGCCTAATTTCGATCAAGTGACCGGTTCGAGTAAGGACGATAGCATAAACTTATCGCATAACATCGATTCCAGTCGTTCGAATAGCCTTTTTGCGGAACACCTGATTAATGTTGACCGTTCTATGTTAAACTTGAAATTAGTGGTTGGTAAGCGCTTGATCGATATTGGCCGAGTGCAAGTATGTATTCCGCACTAAATATGTAGCTTAAATATACATTCGTATTTTGATCCGGGTATAACATTCCATCTCCTCAAAAATTGGTCTCTTACCTGTCTCATTCATGGTTATTAGCCATAGTAGTGGCCTCGGATTGCCCTCATTTAATTGCTTTCACTTAAATTGTTGCATCAACTTCATTACATCGAGCGTGTCAAGAATGCAGAGTACAACGTTGTATCAGTATATTGCATCTAATGTCTGATTCAAAATAAGAGGACCGAGCTCACGCTAACATGCAGTATGACATCTACTGAAGGCATTATAATTGCGTCTGTCTTCGCAGCATACATACCGCGACATCATAACTGACAACAACGATCCATATCGACACCGACATCACTACCGTAATTAGCAGCTTTGTTATAGATTGAACTCAATATCCAATATGTGGTGCGTGTTCAGTAACAAAAAGTTTCCTTTGTGTCTGCAAGGTTCCGCAGGAACATTTCAAATTTGAAATAAAACATTTGCGTCAGATATTTAGTATATTCTCTCCGTGTGATATTCATTTATTCTTCATCTCAAGCCAGATTGGGTCGTACCTTCAAAATTTACAGAAAACTGTGTACGTGCCATTTTTAAATGGCTCTGTCTCATCTCATCCACATTTATGGTTCGGCCTGGACGACATTTACAGACAATCTTAATGTCAAGTTTCAAGATGTGGGTACTGGAACCAGAAAAGAAATGTGGCCTCACATTTGAACCATAAAATGCCGCCAGTTTACTCTAGGAGAGTCGACGCGTCATTTTTTCGTTTAACACGACTTTCGGTGATCTAGATGTACAAGTTTGTATCAATGAGATAAGAAAGGGATGTTGGCAGATCCATGTGGAAGTAAATAAAAGGTTCGAAGGCATGTATATTCCGTCACACAATTTATCTCAGGAGTGCATTTTTCTCAATCGTGAGGTGGATTGGATTCATTTTATCCACTTCATAAAGCAAATATATATTTTTTAGTTACTGGAAGCATTTTTGTGTATCTTGCGGTGTTTTTCGTGATAGTTTGGCGTAAGTATGATACATCACATATAAATGTTTTATGATGAACTAGAATTAACACGTACGTGAATGTGTATTGTGTATATACCGAGTAACTACTACGCGTCAACTTCTAACTTTCACGATTCGAATGACTGGAAAGGCCCTTTCCACGTCACAAGCAAGTAATATCGCTACATAGTTGATAAGCTATTTCTGTTTTCTAAGCTTTGTCCTCACGAACAAAGCACCATGAGGAGATACACTGCAAATACATTACAAAAAGCTGTGCCCATCAATGCGAACCCATGTTACATCCTGCATTCCGTGTTGTGTGTAGCTTCTAACAAACGAACAACCTCGTATCTGGTCGCTCGACGAGATGTGCATAGATTCACTCTTATCTGGCCTCACATCGGGGTAAAATGAAGCATCTCATGGCATAAAAGGACATGCCTGAAGCTTTTACATATTTGATGTAAGATATCCTCGTTATATAGAACGTCAAAAGACTAATAATCGACCGCCTCGCTCGGCGGCAAAGGATCTTTCATTTCTTATCGTCCCATTTTGATATAATTCATGCTGTCCGGCGCATACTGCACGACCAGCCATCGTCTCTCTTCTCTATCAATCTTCTTATAAGCGATCAGCAAAACCAAAGAATTGTGTTATCACACACGGCAACGCTGCATATATATCACACATCACCACGCACCACATATCCTCCGCCGCCGTCCTTAATAATGTAAATGGGCACGGGATTGATCAAACTGCGTTTTACTTTAGTTCGCGGTTTAGCCCGACTTACCTATACCAAACGGCTAGCTCCAGAGCTTGCATGTTGCATGTTGTACCCTAATTAGATTGTGACACGAATATGGAAGCATTGGAGTCCTCCTATAGATAGTCGGTGTATAGTCTCATCTCACCCCTCATGGTGCGAATTGCCACGTACACCTGTAAAGACATCATTTCGTGTTGACCTCATTTTATAGTTTTACCTTTGTTGACCTTCGATATTGTGCTGCCTTTAATCGTTCTTCGCAGTTACTGCAACAGCAACATAGAACAGTTCTTATGCTAGGAAAATGTGATGCGCACTTTTATGCATTCGCCATCCTTTGATGCTTTCCTATTACGCCCCCTCTGTGCTTTTGCGCCTAATAACTGAATCGTGGGGAAGGGCGTGGTGAGGACCGCTAGAAAGAGCGACTGGGATATTCTCCTACGGTCGTGTGGATGCGGTCATCGGCCCACACTTATGGGACTTGGTCGCTTGAGTCTAAGCATGTGGTTGCGAAGATTGGCTCGCAGCAGATTATATAGAATTTATTGATCCGTACTATGGTACATTCTGCCGTAAAGAACAGAATAGACACAGCTCAATTGTGCCGCACGTTTTTGAAATGTTTAGCGATGAGGTTTCCGCGTTGTTGATTGCTTCTAGTCATGACGACGATTCGTACACCTTTATGCTCTTAGCCGCTTCATAGGTTCTTACGGACGCTAATAGCGAATTGTTTCCAAATTATCAGGCAACCCTTGCTGTCATGTAAGCGTTCGACGCAAATGTCGTGTTTTGATCCGATGCGATGGATGCTCGAATGTTATAAAGGAGCTTTTGGTATTTTCGACGATAGAGATTGCTGGCTCATCGCGATTTGTGCCAATACACCTTATCGTTGCGATTGCGGACTGTACTGCAATGCGCCCGCACTAAACTAGGACAAGGGCTCTTCGTGCGTGACATTTTCAAGAAGCAAGCGGATATTCAGTAGGCTAGTTCAATGTCACCCTGACAATGCATACGACTAGCTCGCCAAACTGAATACAGCAGCGTCTGCTTGTAATTCAAATTATCGGTGCAAAAAAAGCGCGACCAACTGACTGTGTGCGGATGTGTGGGCACTCTGGCTTGAAATGAATATTCATAAAACATACGAGTGTGCTGACCCCTCTGGGAGAGAGTACCACAAACGGGCCGGCCGCCCGCTCACCCTGCGTTACTGCATGCGCCTTCAATACAAGCTCGGGAACAAGCCGATGTTCCTCAGTCTAAAACCCATGCAAATGCATTATCTGTGCGTCACGACGACAGCTCCGCTCTTCCGGGCATCACAACCTTATCTCGGTCTGACCCCCACAAGCAGAAGTCCAGTTGCGCCTCAGAGATGGACCAGCGTAACCCTGTGTCGCTGACGTCGCCAAGTTTGGACCTTCAGCCCACGCCTCTCGCTGAGCCAGAGCCGCAGCTTGATGTGTCGTGCCCTGTAGACACTTTGAGCAAGAAGGTGGAGGAGGCGAGTAGACACATCAGTCTTGAGTTGGACGAGACGGAAACGATGGCGGAAGCGATGCAAGAGGAGACGAAAGACATGTGTGATGAGCGGAATGAGGTGATAAGTGGAGGGGAAGGAGAAGAGGTACGAGAATTGGATGCTGGGGACGAGACGGTTGTCGACAGGGAGACGGAGGAGAAAGGAGAGAAGAAGAACGAAAGAGCCACGACTGCTGCTGTCGCTACTACTGCCACTGCCACTACCACAGCTGTTCTTGCTGCTACAAATGATAAGTCGAGGCTTTCGTCGCTGGAGCGGACATCCCTTGACACAATTAAAGCTTCGGGGACACGCGCCGTGGGGTCTCTCTTTTCGAGGTTTAAAGGTGGACGCGCAAAAAAGATGGCAGAGCCGGCGACTCTATCACCCATAAAGGCGGCAGCGCAGCCTCTGGAAGTGCTGAAGGAAGCAAGTAGAGATGATGTATTGCCAATGGCGACAAACATGGAGTCTGATGGAAGGCGAAAGCAAAGCATTGGCGTTGTAAGTGCTGAAGAGAAAAAAGGCGATGATTTGGAGAAGGCGACGGCAGCTGCTGAAGAGATGCCATCACGATTGAGCAATGGAGGCTCTGAGGTGTCGATGCAATTGAACATTGGCGATGATGATGTACACGGGGATATCTACGCACCCGGTTTGACTAGTGATACGTCAGATTGCGATGGTGTAGAGCAAAGAGCGAGTACGAAGACGGGACATCGATCTGAGAAGCTATCAAACGTTGCTACCTGGACGCCACTTGAAGGTGCTGTAGAACCTGTGGAAACAGTTGGCGTCACCACGGCAGTTGTTACGTTGGAGGACGAGAAGGTATCCGTGTTTTCCAGTGTTGATGCACACGAGGAGGAAAGTGTTCGTATGGCTGGGCTTACTGAATCGACAAGTGAACTGACCATCAACACGGACGCTGAAGATGAGGCCGTATCTTCCCCAGTGCAGGGTACCGCGAACAAGACAGCAGTAGCAATTCAGAGCGATACTATTGCTGCTAAGTTTGACACGGTGTCGCGACAGCTTGAGGGGTGTATCGATCTTGATATGCAGCCGGCAGACGTACCACCGCTACAAGCTGAAGCGAAGGCATTTGACAACTCTGGTGCGGAAGTGAATGAAGTTGCCAGTGAGCTTACGAAGACTGAAGTGGTTGAGGAAGTAGCACGTGGTGACATGCACAAAATTGAGGACGCATATGCCGCCGTGACTATCGCTGCCAAACCATTGGTGTCTCAACTCGATGGTACTGTGTTGTCAAACGAGGCCACAAGTGCTGAATCCAGCGAGATGCGGCTGCTTGAGACATTTGCGTCGGATGGTAACGAACACGGCAACATTTCGGTGACCGACAGCACCGGACTTTTGCGTGTCGAAGCCACGCCACCGACGTCCAAATCTTCTTCCGAAGTTTGTGTGCTAGGGAAAGCAGAGCGGGTATCACCTGTTAAAAGCCTTGCCAGCCGCTTTGAAGGCAAGCGTGAACAGTCTCTTGACAGTTTAAAATTCCGTACCGTACGTGGATTTTTTTCTGACGAGCGCAGTATCCGTGTCGGAGCAGAAAAGGAGAAGTACGAAGCGCAGGCGCAGCAGCAAAAAGTGAAGGCGAAAGCAGAAGAGGTCGTCAAGTCCAAGTACAAGACGACATCAGGATATAAATCTCTCGAAACAGCATCTGTGCTAAGCGCAAGTTCTCCTGAAGATACGCTTGTCACTATGAATGTGCAAGACGCTGCGATAATTGGTGTTTCTGGTGTAAGTTCGCATGCTATGACGACACCCGACGCTACAGCAAGCAGAAAGGAGTTTTCGTATGATGAGGAAAACGCGGGGGCCGATTCTCCAAGTAAATCGAGCGACGACGCAGGGGAATCTCTGACACCTGTGAAAAGCATTGCTAGTCGATTTGAAGGCAAGCGCGAGCAATCGCTTGACACCTTAAAATTCCGGACCGTTCGTGAGTTTTTCCCTACTGAGAGAAGTATTCGCGTCGACTCTGAAAAACAAAAGCTGGAGGCAAATTCGCAACCGGGCAAGTCTCTCGACGATCTCAAATTTCGCACCGTGCGCGATTTTTTTCCGGACGAAGGGACTCGCAGCGTCCACGTTGGTGCCGAAAAGGCAAAGTACGAGGCACTAACACGGCAACATGACGTTGTAACAACGGCAGCCGAGCAGCCTCCATTAAGCAGCGCGGATCCTATGCCTTTTCCCATAGCCTTAACTGGCAAAAGCAATGAGGCGGCGTCTAGCGCCGCGGCATCGTCAGAGACGAGTTCGCGCACGCCGGACGATCCTGACGAGATAGCAACAATCTGCTCCGTAAGAGGCTTAGAAATGGCGGACGGAGAAAACATCGAATCAAGCGGGAGAAGCGCTGATCATTTGGCAAGTGCAGTTTTGAACGAAACCAGCAATACGTCAATTTCTTTGGACAAACTTGCAGTCGGGGTGGATACAAGTGATACAGTGCCCTGCCTTGATGCTGAAAGTGTCCCTGTCGATACGGACAATGCGCATTCTATTGCTGAAGTACGGCATGGTGTCGAAGAGTCGAAGGCTGCGACGGCAGGGGAAACAGCTCGGGTTGACATTGAACCTGCTGATACGCTTGTGATGATGGACAATTACGCTAAATTAGACCAAGGCGACAAGGCTACTGTGAATGCTGATTCTCGACTCGATAAGCCAGAGACTGAAGGTAATAGTCAGCACGCCGAGCTTGCTCTCACCGAAGAAACGTGTACAACCCAACATGAAAGTAACAAACATGATGATGAAGAAACGGGCATAGGGGCCGAAGCTATTGAGCCGGGGATTGTCGATAAAGTGGATGGATGTCTGGATGCCGAAGAGGCAGCTATGGTTGAGCTGGACAATTCGAAAAGTGAAGTTACTACAGGCGGCGCTTGTAATCAGGAGAATTCTGCACTGGCTGATGAATTAGTTCAAGTGGTGGAATCGAATACTGCAAAGAGCGATGTGGTCGATGAAGATGCCGCACGGGTCGAGGAGGTCGAGGAGACAACTTTGAAGAGCAAGGCGGTCGAGGTGCTTGATTCCGTAATCGAGATTAGCCATCTGGACCCATCCGTTGTTTTGTCTGACGAGGTCGCCGTCGGTAGGGTTGAAAGTGCGTGTCCGAGTGTACAGCAGCATGATATAGATGGGGAAAATCCTCGAGATATCGGGACTGAAAGCGCTGAAAGTGCTAAGAACGAAGTTGCTGAATTAGAGCTGGACGGATCAGTCGCTGAGACTTCGAACGAGACGACAAACGAAGAAGCGCAGGCAACGTCACGACCAATGCTCACTACAGAGCGATCATTCGTGATTGAGGATGACCACATTGTTGAGACCGAAGACACGGTCGTTGTGAAAGAACGGCCGATGACAGACGGAGAAGAAGAACTTGAAGTCTTGTCGCCGTCAAAGGTCAGCGCAGCACACGAATTGCATTCTGATGTTACATCGTCGAGGTCGGCGAAAAGCTCGACTCCGAAAGTCGTGAAGCAGACGTCTTCAAAGGTGGCTCGCAAGAAACCTACTGAGTTGCCAGGATCAGTCAAAATGTCGCTTGGTAAACCCGTCGATCATGGCGCAACGAAGCGTGCTTCTACTGCTGCGTCACGCATAGCCAAAGAGGCGACGAAAGCAGAGGGGAATGTCAAGGCACCATTACCTGTCAAGATGAAAACTACAGCGCCCAAGCGCAAGAGCACTGTCAGTGGCGCTGGATCAGCTAAGGTCTCGACTGCACCTCCTTCCGTTTCAGCGCGCATGAAGCGAGCGTCTGCCACACCGCCTACGGCCATGCAGCAGGTGGGAGGTAATTTAGCTGGCGCCGGTGAGGCCGGTGCTACGAGTCCTGCAACAGCGACTCAATCGTCAAAACGTAAGGGTCTGGTTGGTTTCACTAGCGCTGTAGAGCCGGCTTCGTCTTTACCGATAGTTGCTGATGGATCGAAACGTGCATCCATCGTGGCTTCACCCGCTTTCCGTGAGGCTAAAAAAGCCGAACGTAATGCTGATGTCGCCTCGCCAGTGCCCTCAGCCCCAGCTCGAAACAAGAGGTACTCGAGTGTTAAAAGCATTGTGCAAGATGGGATTAAGACCCATCCGGTGCACGCAGTCAGCCACGTCCCTATTACGAAGGAAGCATATATCGCAGCCGAGCGTCGGAAGAGCCTGGGATCGGCTGGGGTAAGATGTGTTTTGGATGCGGCTAATCGCCGCGCATCTCTCACCGCCCGTGCAGCGATTGGCGAACCACCGGAGCCGTATATTCGATCAGCACTTTCACGCAAAAAATTGAAGTCGACGGTTCCTCGCTACATGAACTACGAAAATACGCCAGGGTATGCTGAACGTGCCCGGCAGCAGTACGAGCGACGCAAGCGACTGGAAGAGGAAAATGCTGCAAAGTCTGAAAAGCGCCAGCGTGAGCTGCGCTCATTTTTCGATGATAAGCAGCAAAAATCGCTCACGACGTGTGCTGATATAGTTCGCCGCGGCCTGGAGGCTCACGAATTTGCAAAGATGGTGAAAGAGAGTAAAACGAGTGGGGAGAAGGCTACAAGATCAGACAGGCAACGCAGTCGGACTACACGAAGCCACCGCCGAGCCCTTTCATCGACGTCCAGTGCTTGCACATCATCGTCCAATGGTGCTTCTTCCCGTGCATCGAAGAAGTCCTCCGCGCTCGGTGCTATCGAGAAGCCTGTCGAAGCGCCCGGTCTGGAGGCAACGACCTTGCAGATTCAGGAAGCATTTGAACCGGCAGTCGTTACAGAGGAGGAATTGACGTTGGAAGAGGTATACACGGAGACGCAGGAGGCTGCCATTGTCGGGGCTCAAGCCGACTCGCAGACAGCCCAGGTTTCGGCTGTAAAGGAAGTATTGTCATCTGGGCTCGTTGCGGAGACAGTTGACGATGACGATTAAAGAATCGGCAGTGACCAGAATTGCGTGTCAAATCGTTGAGGCTTTGGCTATTCATTGCGCTTCGTGGTGGGACGTAGCTAGCGTGGGACAGGGTGTGCGGTCCAGTGATGAGAATGTTGTTTGCGTACTTGCCAGCCGCCCGCTACTCTAGAGTACATTCGCAACTTTTAGGTTGGCTTGGCTATTGCAAAGCTGTGAGTCGAACAATGAGTCGATCAATGAATGGTCAAGTTTTCATACATGATGGCAACATGCACAAATTTACTCTCCGAATCCGGTCGTTGATCTGCAACGTTCAGCTTGAAAAGCGGCTAGATAAACGATAAGCCACTTCGACGATGCTATGATGGTATAGTTATAATTTACTGCATGTGTTACTTGAAGGTACGCACGTACAGTATGTATACCGATGCGTTGCGTACAACTTGGTCTACCTGATACGCTGCTTTGATGATGTTAGTGCACACAGAGGTCACATTTGCGAGTTGAAAACCTCCGCAGAAGCGCAAGAAAAATGTGTTGTGAGACACAAAATCTACTTTTCATGCAGATGGGCCATTGACTGCACGTGCTTCGGATACAGATCGCCAACCGAAACGTCTACTTGAGTGCATTGCAGAATGCGTGGAAGAAATTACAAATAGTGGGGCTACGAAAGTAACACTTTTTGAATAAGAAGCAAGACCTCTCATCACCGCATTTCAGTCACCCCATTGCTAACAGCAAACGTCATGGACCGAAGCATTCTGTATCATGCTGCACGAGTAGAAGCACGCAAGTAGAGTTTGATGCGCAACTAGTTACAACTAAATGAAGAGATTATCGCAAATAGCCTCCACGGATACTTTGTATACCGAAGTTTGTGGCACGTCAGCAAAGTCGTGGGCCTTAAATGATTTAAACCAAGTACATCGCTGAAGGCTTCCAAATCTACATGTCTTTCCTACAAAGATTAAGTTTGTGGCACCATGCATCAAAATCTTAATGTCTTTCCTACAAAGGGTAAGTTTGTGGCGCCATGCATCAAAATCTACGCCAGTGGCGTTTACATGGTCTTAAAACTGTAACGAGTGGCGACTCAGAAAGCCCTATCGTGCTTGGAAAACAGTACCAAGCTATTTCCTCGTCACGCCTATGACACAGACACTAAAACCGGGCGATTGGTTTCTGCAACAGGGCGAAGGGAAGAGTGTGATACGGCTAGCTTAAGTCGTATCTAGGCTTAATATAACGCTGTTTAAATGAACGGATTGCCGCATACGCATTGTATCGATATCGCACTGTCGGCCTACGTCAAGACCTCTTGATTACACTGTATAACGAACAAACGAATCAGACCTCACGTACGTTCGTCCGTTGGAATAAATATGTATAACCCAGGAAAATGAGCCTAGCATGTCCACGTTATGCTTTTTCGGCTTGCCGCGATTTTTAAACTTCAGCATCCTTTTTTGTAACTGTTGCGCTTTCTAGTGCGCTCCGTCAGTACTATAACTTCGCTAATGTAGCGTAAAATTTAAGAAAGAGTAGCATGAAAATCAACGATGCGGCCTAAATGCATCGCACAATCTTAAAAGTTTAATTTGGATGATTGTATTGGCCTTATTCAGTAATCCGCGGCTTTGAGCACGATCAGTGGACATTCCAACTTTGACGGTCGCCCTTGTTGTGGCCGGCTCCATCTAGTTCATTATACATCTGGGTAGAAATCAGTATGCGCTAGAGTCGGCATTGCGTGCGTACTGGGTGCGCTCTATTTAGTCTACTCCCAGTCAAATATATCTCCTCTTGATGATAAGTTGACAATATGTGTGGGACGCATTGCGTGCCACATTAAACCTAAAATACCCCCTTGAGCAATTTATAGGAAAATGGGATTCTTGCAGCGATTTCCGCATGATTGCCTCCATTATACAGGCTCCAAAAGTTTACATGGCACAATCATAGATTCTATCTTCTCGGCCGTGTATGTAGCTAAATTGTGGCAACGATCATACCTACGACGCTGTGTATCTTTTTGGTCAGCTAAAATGCAAGAAAATGGGAGGGGCTATTTCTGAATTAAAAAACCGCAACTGTTGTGAAATGCAAATATGTCACCAGAAGGTTCATCTCGGAAGTTACTTCTGTGCTAAAGTACCTTTTATATCACTGAATGTATAAAAAAGCAGACCGTAATTCGAGTAGGTCCATTCGCGGAATGGGTATCGATTTGGTGTAGAAGTATCCAAACATTCATCAGTTAACGATAGTAGAGGAAGCGCCTTTAGCACACAATTTAATTTGCCAGATGTCCTATCTACTCAGTCATACACCAAGTGCAATTGCGCACAACCGGTGGTACCAGCTTCACTAGCTACTTTCCATATATCCTAGCTACTTAGTCATGCACCGAATGCGAATGCAGACAATCGGGGGTACCGGCTTCGCTAACTACTATGCGTAATTTTACCGCAAAATTGAGGTACTCCTATGTTCGTGCGTCTTCTCTTGAAAGCGCATTTGCGTACAACATATTCTGCGCATCGGGCTTCAAGAGGCGGATGTTTATTTATGCCAATGCAAATTATTAGGGATTTTGCCTCACTCGACCAGGAATCGGAGCAGCCTGACTGCAGCGGTTAATAATGAGCGTAGTCCACAACATTGACCGAATGGTTGATCGACCGGCTAAACGACTGATTGGCGGGTACTAGACTCTCCACCAAGACCAAATACAGAGCACGTATACACACCCAACAAACGAAGAGACCTTGATGTAACCAATTGATATGTTGCCAGCTTATTTGAAAAAAACCCCAGAAAAGCACCGAAGACGCAAATTTACTGCTATTGGATTTAAGATTGCTTGACTACTGCACAGCGTCATCGAACGCGCTAAATGAGTTAGGGTTGAGCACAAGGTACGCATAATGCCGAATCAAGCTGAGGGCGTTTTCTACACAAGCCACAGATCGTTGGAAGTCAAAAGTAGGAAAGGTAAGTCAGCAACGATTATTTTTTACGGAGAGATGCAAGTGATAACGCAGGTTTACATCTCTGATTGTCGGGTGATGGTTTTTGTGAGCCTGGCTTTATTTTCTGGTCATCGGGGCATCGATAGCAACATTGGCACCTAGATGTTCGCAAATAATATCAGGAATTAATGACGGCAGCATAATCGAGAGCCATGACTGTTGTCAGAATAGAAGGTGATTCTGAAGCGCGTTCGTCGGGCATGCTGTACATAATGTTTACGACATCATAGAATCGCAGCGACCGATGGAGTTGCTTGAGTATAACATATGTTGCCGTCGTAGCGACCGGCGTGGCATTGATCGCCTACTTCGCACAATTTGAAGCATTTCGCTAGACACCGACAGTAGAAAAGTAACTCTTTGGTGCTAGACAACAGGTCACAGATACTACATCGATGCGGCAAAATGAGAAGTTAATTCGTTGCAACTGTTTGAATACCAAATAAGTGTCGTAAGTTTTTCGTCAAGGATTTTTTCGTAAAATTTACATCGGCCGACTGCTACAAAACTAATATAGGGTCCACCGATGTGCTTCGTTTTCTTGGTCTCCGGTGTGTCAAGGACGCATTGCGCTCGTATAGTTGACGGTTTCATCAATAATATGGAATGGTAAATTGCCACAGCTATCAGACTTACCAACGGGGATAATGAGAAGCTTGCTCTGGTTCTATCTGTAAATAATCATATATATAGGGCGTCGGGTCAATTATTTTTGTATAGCGAGATTTGCACGGTTTGGACTCGCTTCGAAGAGCATATCGATTCCAAAATTATATCGTACGTCGCGCTAGTGTAAGAAATATCGAAGAAAGGATCGTTAAATAGACTCCAGCATGACCTGGTTCTATAAATTGTCATACAAAGGTGAAATCAACAAAACCTTCGTTCTGACGTGTCACTAAAACTTATTTACGGGCCTCGTCAATGCAACATAAACATGTCGATGCAGTCTACATGAAGATGTGTGTTGACAGAATGGTCGATTGGGATGATAATTTATACCAGGATTGCCGAAAATGGTCGATGAATAGGGGGGTGCCGGCTGATGCCTGTCGATACGCGACAGCTGAAACTAGCTTAAAATTGATAGCAGGTGACGTGACGGCGATGCGACAGGGCACTTTTAATGAGATTCATAAACGAATAAGGGAAGGAAACTGTGCGGATGGACAAATTTTAATCTTTGCCCTTTCGTGAGCCAATTGCGACTATCAATGTAATATTTCATTGCGAGGTCTACCCGTATCTATGAGTGGACACGGTGACATCTTACGGCATATATTCTTGCAAAACACGGACAGGTTTTTAAAAACACTAGCAAATCATTTTATGCATAGCTACAATCATCGAACAAAAATATACCGAGCGAATCTTATTCGACGCGGCTTCCACCAAGGAAAAAAAACTGTGATCAAACTGAGATCACTGCTATGATGGTACTTTGACATCCAGATTAGGCAGACAAAAAGACTCTGCTCTGTCGAAAACTTGTTGTAGATGAATGTATACATCTTAACTGATTGAAAATGAGTAAGCATCGACAAACAGATCTATTCTTCGAAATGAAGTGTTCGTTGGCATGTCTTGGCGCCAATTTAATCGATTGCTTTAGAAATTAGCGTTGCGGGTACAAATTTGGACCACTTAACAGGATGTGGATCGAAGACATGTATTGTTTAGTAGTACGTGTGGTCAAGTAGGAATGATTTGTATCTCAGCGAGAAGCAACATCTAGCGCTTGTCATCGTATCATTCATGTAATGAAATACCGCAGTCCTACAACATCATCCACTTAGAACAGATCTATAATGTCGAAAAATGCCGATCTATGCTGAATTGAAACTGGACTTTGCCTCATGAGTGAATAGCTGGTCAATATCTGCACCCTCCAGACCACCATTTTTGACTTGCACTCATATAGAAAAGGAATCAAATTTTGAATTTATATACCGCATTATATTTTGTACGGTACAGTTATCGGAG